GGTGTTTTAGAATCACTCAGCTCTACTAACCATTTTAGTACCTTTCTAAATGATCTAACTTGGCGAGTATTGATTTAAGGGGATGGTCAGTGACGACATATATCAAATTAGCCTAAAAATATAATTATAATTGCTAACCAAAAGCCAGGAATGCTAGTACAAGTTTCTCCATGATAGGTTATCTTTGCTCTACACCCCTTAGTGTCTTGCTCACATAATAAATTGCTTTTTTCCCCTAATAACTTCTAAGCTTATAGCATCCTTGTTGACTCACAGATATAAAAATAAATTTGCACTAGGTCTAGGACTTTGGAGTAGAGATGGCAAGGAGAGAAGAAGCTTGAGATGTTCGAAGGTAGCCTTGTAATCCACATTCTAAATGAATTTCTTAGCATTTCTGGGCACTGTAAAGAACGACAAGCGCCTCTTGCCTAGCTAAGAGATAAAGAAATTGAGCCCAACAACTCATTAAGTGAGTCATTGCACTTCTTTGGCTGTCCTTGGTGATGTTATATCTAGAATTACCCTCAAATTTTTTAGATTCACCTTCATGCCATCAGGGCTTAGGGGGAAGCCTAGGAATTGAACTTCCCTAAATCTATAGCAAAAGTACACTTTAATGGATTGAGTTGCATGTTATACCTCTTGAGGGTTGAAAATATTTCTTTTAAGTCTTTAATGTGTTGGGTAGGTGATTTTCTTTTCACCAATAGGTCATTGAGCTATACCTCAATATTTTTTCCCTTTTGGTGCTTAAAGTTTTGATCCATCATTATTTAGTAAGTCATCTCCACAATTGTCAATCCAAATGGCATGACCTTGTAGCAAAAAAGATCCTCTATAGTGATGACAGTAGTCATCTCACGATCGATTGGATACATTCTTAATTATTTGATAGTAGCCCGATAAAACATCTTAAAAGTTCATTATCAAATATCCCACTATCGAGTTAACTAGGGACTTAGTCCTTAGTTGGGATTAGCCATCCTTAAGGCATGCTTACTTGTCTTAACTCGACTTATATAAGTTTAGATAATATTTATTGATTCAAACATATTACACCTCTTTTCTTATCTCTTCATATGAAATTACCCATACGAGAAGGACACTATCATATCATCACCTTTTTGCCATAAAATACAACTACTAATATTAATCAAGGTTAGGCGAGTATGATGTTCTCCTTTATGAGAGGCAAACTTTCACATTGATAATTTTCATCCTATGGTACTTATAGTCCAAGGAAATACTATAGTCATTTTAAGATCTATTTATATCCAACATAATTTAAGGTTGATTATAGAATTTCTAGCTTATTGAGCTAAGAAATGATCCTACAAGATGAAGAGTAAATGTTGTGAATGAAAAAAACTTATTATTTCTAGAAGTAGCCTAGGAATCAAAGCAAAAGATTTATGAATTTAAGCTTTTAGCGATAATGTTAATTTTGAAGAGGTGTTAACCTTTTTAATAGAAACAAGCATATTAAATAATATTTAAAAAATAATTTGGTCTTTAAATAAATCATTTAAGAGTATTACTAAATAGAAATCCTAATTTAGTTCTAAGTATCGTGTTAGCTTGCTTGCGTTGCATGCCTTCAACATTTTTCTTATGACTTACTTTTGCACATGAAAGATGTAAAATATTTCCTAGTCTATTTTATCTTATCTAAATCTTGCTTGCGTTGCGTTGCAAAATATTTGTATTTCTTCTTAAAGAAGCTTTTTATTACAAAAAAATAAAATTTTGTACTAGAAAGCTACTTTAAGAATAAGTAAAAAAGCAATCCCAACGAAACCTAAATGTGCATTGTAATGATGTACATGTTTCTTGCATACACTAAGTTAATATTTTTGATAACCAAAATCTAATTATAAACATGGGGATTATATGCTAAACAAAGATATCCTTTTTAGTTTTTAATAATATAATTCTATAATAAGTTTAAGACATTAATATCTATGCAAGGACAAACATAATATATAAATGCTAACTCCTTATGATAAGTTTATTTCTTACCAACTAATTAATGATTCATAAAGTGATCTTATCACATGGTAAAGCTAAGTTATATACAAAGTTAAAATCAAAGCCATAAAATGATATGTTATATTCATTGTCTTGATAATAATTTCAATATTTAAAATAATTCATTAATTTGATCCCTCAAACATATTGCTCATTAAGTCTTCCAAAGAGTATTCAAAGAATTTAGAATTTCTAACATATTAAAATTGTATCTTGTACTTATAAATCTCTAATTATATGAAATTTTAAATGCAAATAGTTTTAAAATTTTCATAAAACTAAATTTTATCAATATGGACATCTTCAATGGATAATCAACTAATAAGAATTAACATCCAAAGCTAATTAAATGTTGGATCAATTCAACATCAAGAGAAAACAAATATAGAAATCTCTAATTTATCATCTATTGGTATATACACCTTGATAATGAGACTAATATGACTAAACAATTAAATTTCTAATCTCAAAAGGATCCCTTCTACGATAAGCCTAAAACATCAAACCTTTGATACCACCTTGCCACACTACTCTCTCATCGAGCTCATAAGGAAAATGTATAAACATCATAGGGGTATGAGCTATTATATTTTTATTTCATCACTTGTTAGTTATTATTATTATTATTATTATTATAGTCAATTTGTTATGACGACAACATGAAATAAGAAAAGGTATGCATCAATCCAGGAAATTCAAAAAATTCCAAAAGAGTCGTCACTTTATGGACTCATCAACACTTTTATCCAACATCCAAAAGAGTCATATTTATATTATATGCATCGTCCACACAAGCATATATTATATAGATTTTTTCTTCCAATAATAGTTCGTAATGAAGATTATAAACTGATAATCAAATTCTATTATATATTAACAATTTTTTTTATTTATAGGGGCCAAAATTATTCTTAGTAATTAGAAATATGTACATGAATTCTCTAAGAATATATGCAAAAAAATAAATAGGTAAGATAATTATTACATTATATCAAATTGATCACATGAAATAATACAAATTTATCAATTATTAATGCATACAAATAAATAACAAGGGATGCATACCTATGAAGAAAGAGACTATATATCCCTTACTAAGTAAAGAGTCACCTACTAGACGGATATCACAAGCATGTAAACATGTTGATCATGATAATGATCTTTCTTGATCCAACACATGGTGCTCCATAAACCATTGATTAAAAAAAAAAATTAAACCAATCTTATATTCATATATGGCATTTTCACAATATTGCATAGAAATGAAAAGCTAAATAATCAAAACAACTAACTAATTTAACCATAAATTTATAATAAATGATTTATAGTGATTTCATCAAATTTTTAGTAGGAGATAACAATGACGGTCATCTTGATTCGTGCTCAATATTCACCTCTTTCCTTACATGTAAATTGATTTCTCATGCTCGTCTGTTCCTCTATCATGTTCAACTATTGTGCCCTCTCTCTTGTGCTCGATCTGCTAGTTCCAAGTCCTTATTAGCGGCTTAAAAGGTTGAGAGGTGACAAGGAAAAATCTGATTTAGGGCCTATTGAGTTGGAGTAGTCTAGTCTAGATTTAAAAAAAAAAAGTTATTGTGATTGTAATATATAATATGAGATCAGGGTTTAGTTAGTCAATAAGAACTTAAATAATATTTGAAACCCCTACTTTAAGTTCATAACTTGTTTATTTTTTAACCCTAATATTCTCTTTTAGTCTCTTTCCTATAATAACTTATAACTATCAACAATGGATGTATTGAAACCCAAATAATGAAAAGCATAGCACAATCAATCTTGAACATATGATGGCTAACACCATCAAAGGCACATAAATTATTGGAAAGAGAGGCATCCGAGGAGCTCCCATGTTTGAAACTCACATGAACCTTCTTTTGAGTTTTATAACTCATTATAATATCACAAGGGCATTATGGTTTAGGTTTTACCTCTTCAAATTGAAGAAGATGATGACAATCTATGAAGAGGGAGAATATGATATTAATGCTTCATTTCCCCCCTTCCCTTAGATTCTCTCCAAAAATCTTATTGAAGTAATTGACTACAATCGAGAGTTCCACCTTGTTTGCACACACTATATGCCCCAGGAGATAACAATGATAATCATCTTGATTCGTGCTCAATCGCCTCCCCCCTCACACGTAAATTGATTTGTCATGCTCGTCTATTCCTCTGTCAAGTTCAACTTTGCGCCCTCTCTCTTGTGCTCGATCTTCTAGTCCTAAATCCTGATTAGCTAATTAAAAGTTTGTGAGGTGATAAGGAAAAAATCTGGGTTATGGCCTATTAGGTTGGAGTAGTCTAGTCTAGATGTAAAAAAAAAGTTATTATAATTGTAATATATAATATAATGTGTAATGTGTTTTAAGATTCAGGGTTTAGCTAGCCAATAAGAATTTAAGTAAGATTTGAAACCCTTACTTTAAGTTTGTAACTTGTTTATTTTTTAGACCTAGGATTCTCCTTGTCTCTTTCTTATAATAATTTATATATTGAAACCTAAATAATCAAAAGCATAGCACAAAGAATCTTGAACATATGATGGCTAACATCATCAAAGGCAGAGAAATTATTGGGAAGAGAGACGTCCAAGAGCTCCCATGTTTGAAAATTCATGTGAACCTGCATTTGAGTTTTATAACTCATTATAATATCACAAGGGCTTTACGGTCAAATTTACATTTTTTGACGTAATTCTCTAAATTATAAACATAAGGGATATTTGATCAATTATGACTATAATTAATCATTTAAAGCCAAATTTCTCGTTTGAAAGACAAAAGGAGAAATGAGTTATTTTTGGTTTAAATAGGCACAAATTGGGATTTGAGTGACGTTGTGGTGGAGAGCATCGTAAATTTAAACTTTTGATCATTTAAAATTTAAATCTTGTCAATGTTTTTGCTTCCTCCAAAACCTCGAAAGCTCTGGTACGGCTACGGGGAGGAGTGTGGCCGTTGAAGTCATGCAGAAAACGCAAGAAAACTCTTTTAGCCAAAATACCGCAACATATTTTTCTTATACGCATTCGTTTTTTCATTCCCTTCACTGTTCTTCTCCGGCAAGCCTCTTCCGCTGCCCCATGCCCGTTCCTTCTCTATAAATATTACATATGATCCTCCCCTAGCTTCATCCTCAACTCCGGTTTTTTTATATTCCCGTTACAATGGCAAAGCTCCCTCTTTTACTTTTCACTATCATCCTCATTTCCGCGTCCTTCGCCGCCGGTGACATTGGCGACGAGGAGCTCACGCTCCCCGAAGACGCGGGCTTCCCGGCGGCTACCGCTGAGAAGTTCATCCGCGCGCTCAATCTTCTTCCCAATGATCCTTCTCCACAGTCCTCCGCTGTTTCCGCCAATGCCTGGCCGGGATCGATCACTGAGAGGCCGCTTCGCCTCTCCTCCATCTCCGGCGAGGTCTCTGTCGATGAGCTCGGGCATCGTGCCGGCTACTACCGTCTTCCCCACACTCATGACGCTAGGTGAGGAAGAGTTATTTAGGAATGGAAAAGCTGTTCTTTTTCCTCTAGGGTTTGCGTGATTCTATGTAATAAGCCAATCTGAACGGTGACTGGTTCATGTAGGATGTTCTACTTTTTCTTTGAATCGAGGCAGAGCAAGAAGGATCCCGTCGTTATTTGGTTGACAGGAGGACCCGGTTGCAGCAGTGAATTGGCTGTTTTCTATGAGAATGGACCATTCAATATAGCCGACAACATGTCATTGGTGTGGAATGAATTTGGCTGGGATAAGGTAACTCCGAGAATTTTCTCTCCTTAGTCCTCTTCATTTTATTTTTATTTTTTTTTGCTAAGTGTTCTGCTTTTGCGCATTGATATATGAAACAGAGCAATGATTATTGTTCTAATGCGTGATTGCGATAAGAGATCCTTAGATGAGTGTAGTTTGTGAATTTATTTTTGTTATTTGATAATTATTTAGTTTTAGATATTTTGGGTCTATTGTTCAAAGTGATGGTGAAATAGATAGGGACATTATTAGTAGAATTCAAATTGGATGGATGAAGTGGACGAATGCTTTGGGCTTATTGTGTTATAGAAAAGTACCACTCAAGCTTAAGGAAAAATTCTATAAGATGACGGTTAGACTTGCAACGCTTTATGGTGCGGAATGTTGGCCATTAAAATAGAAGCATAATATTAATTCTAAGTGTTGTAGAGGTGAGGACTCTCAGGTGGATGAGTGGCTTTACTCTAAGAGGTAGAATATGAAAAAATTAGACTAGCTCCAATGGCAGATAAGATTAGAGAGAGTCGCCTTAGATGGTTTGGTCACATAAAATGGCATCCTTCTAATGACCTGGTTAGGAGAGTAGATGTATTAGATTTAACCTATATTCAGAAAGGTAGAGTTAGACCTAAAAAGTCTTGGTTAGAAAATATTAGAAATGACCTTTCTTTATTGGATCCAAATGAGAATTTGACTCTTAATTGGGCACAATTGAGAAAAAGGATTCATGTAGCACGTAGTGGGATAAAGGTTTGATGTTGTTGTTGATCATTATTTAGTTTGATATTACTATGTATTAGTACTAACATAGCACTGAGATTAAATAACATCAAGATAAATAATGATCAAATACGTAAAAAAATTTATGAGCTCCGGTCATTTAAAAATTACCCCATAGCGAGTTGGTTTCTCTTTAATGCTTGCTTCCTTTTGCCATTTGGCAATGTTGTTTCTGATTAAACAAACCAGAAGAACGTACAATTATGCTAACTTATGATTTCTGTGTTTGCTGGAACGCCTATTTCCTGTTAACATTTATTGGCTAAAAATGTATGGGAGATTACTACTGGCACAAGAAAAATATTATTTTGTCAGGTTCTATAACTAGAAGGGTAGGTTTTGTAACTTTAAATTTAGGCTTTATTTGGGACAGGTTTCTTACTGTTTATTAAAGTAACTTTTTAGTTCAAAATTTTTAATTTTTGAACTACAAAGTTGCTTTAAGAAGCAGTAAGAAAGCCGTCTCAAACGAAGCCTTAGTTTATTTTATAATAACAAGAAGGGCTCTACAACTTGAAAGCTATATGGGAAATTTCTTCTGGATATCTGTAGCTTCATCCTTTATAGAAAATTATCAGTTATCAGAAAGAAAAGTTAAGATGTCCATTTTCTTGCAGGCATCAAATCTTATTTATGTTGATCAGCCTACTGGAACGGGTTTTAGCTACAGTTCAGACAGACGTGACATTCGGCATGATGAGAAGGGTGTTAGTGATGATCTTTATGATTTCTTACAGGTATGTGCAGGTTTTAGCCTATTGTTAGTAGTATATTTAGCTTATCACTATCCTCTTAGAGGCTGTATTTTGGTTAACTGATTTTTGCATATTGTAGTTGCCTTATGTGACTAAATTTTTCAAATTCCTAACATGTCTTATAAGAAAATTTGCTGCATTTGCATGGTCCCTTTTCTTTTCACTTTTTATTTTTCTTCTTTGTTTGAGAATTTGATTTATTAAGTCAATTCTAGAGTTTTTGTACGCCAGCATTATTGTTTTTTGGACTTTAGCTGTTGCACCCCAAGTTACATACCCTAAAAATTTACCAGAAAATAATTTTTACCTGGAGCACTTTCTCGACAAAGTACAAACAGGAAACTACTGTTAACATTTTAAATCAGAATAATTTCCTTTTTCCAAATAGGCATTCCTCCTATATTATACTTAGAGACAAAATGCGAAACAAGTATATACGTGAAAATGTTGTAGTAGCTCCAGTGGCAGATAAGATTAGAAAGAGTCTCCTTAGATGGTTTGGTCATATAAAACGTCAGCATTTTGACAATTTATGTTAAGAAATGTTGAGGTAGATCTAAAAAGACTTGGTGAAATAGTATTAGAATTGTCCTTTGTTTATTAGAGTTAAATGAGAATTTGAATCTTAATAGGACAGACACAATAGAGAAAAATGATTCATGTAGCCGACCCTACGTAGTGGGATAAAGGCTTGATGTTGTTGTTGTATTCCTCCTATATCATTTATACTAGAGATTACATCAAAAGAATGATTTGCAATAACAAGTCAAGCCAGTTAAAAATGAAACTTTTACTTTCTTAAACCAAAATACATCATAATCTTTCATTGAGAACCATTTTACTTTGGGAATTTACCAAACATCATTAAGATAGGAAGTTCCTTTATTAATCCTGATTCATTTTACTTGGTCTAGGATTAATTGCCTTTATTTTCGCATATCAAGTCTATTGGTTTTCACATCCATATGTATATATTTTGCCCAGGCATTCTTCTCCCATCACCCAGAGTTCGTGAATAATGATTTTTACATTACTGGGGAATCTTATGCTGGGCACTATATTCCTGCTTTTGCAAGCCGTGTTCATCAAGGGAACAAAGCTAAAGAGGGCATTCACATCAACTTGAAGGTGCAATCCTACATCCCTATTTCTGGCAATCATTGTTGTTTGATGGGTTTATTTACTTGAGTGGGTTGTGAACAAGCAGGGTTTTGCAATTGGCAATGGTCTTACTGATCCAGCAATCCAGTACAAAGCTTACTCCGATTATGCTTTGAAAATGGGAATAATTAAAGAATCTGACTATAAAAGAATCAATAAAGTTTACCCAGCATGTGAGCTGGCCATTAAGCTTTGCGGTTAGTTCTTAACCAAACTTAATTTCTTTTTAGTTCATGTCTGTTTTTTTTATAGTTCTGTTATATTTTTTATAGTGATTATTGAGCACTTGCTATATGCTTATTTGTTCTCTGTAGTTATGTTTGTTTTTGAAAGTTTAAACTCAAATCATGTCTTTACATGGTCATTGGTGGTGTTGCCTTTGTGTTAAAGATCACTACAATGACATTAAGCCTTTATGGGTCAACTGCATGAATTCTTTTTCTCTATTGTGTCATATTATGAGTCAAATTCTCATTTTAATTTAATAAAAAATTGCATTGCTAATATTTTATAGCCAAGTCTTTTTAGGTCTACATCTACCTTTCTTAACATAGTCAAATCCAATACATCTACTCTCCTAACTAGGTCATCGGAAGACTGATGTTTTATTTGTCCACACTTTTATTGGAATATCATCTAATCCAATTGCTTTTCCATAATTCATTTTCTTTAAGGCCTCTCTAACTTTGATTTTACTAATATGATGATAAAATCAAAAACCTCTATGTTTATTTAGGATAATAAGGTCACTAAACTCACTCATATTCTCAAAATTTTTTATTGAAAAGCTTATCGAAATATCTCATACACTTTTATTGAATATCTTCTTCTATTAATTTTTTTTATCTCCATCCTTAATGCACATCACTTAAATTAAATTCTTACTTCTCTTATTTCTTTGTTTGGCTAACTTATACATGCATCTTTCGTCCTCCTTAGTTTCTAATTTATTATATAAATGATTAAAAGTTAAATTCTTTGCATCGCATATTGCTTTCTTAGATTCTTTATAGGCCCCTTTATATATTTCTCAATTTTCCAAACTTTTACATTCAAACTGATTTTTATAACAAAGCTTCTTATTTTTTATATATTTTTATGCATTTTAATTTCACCATCAACTATTTTTACTAGTACGGACTTTATCCTTTGATACTCCAAATATATCCTTAGCAATATTTTTAATATCACTAGCTACTTTTTTTTATATAACATTAGCTTTTTCAAACACAGCTCTCAATTTTTTTTAAAGTATTCATTAAATGCCTCCATCTAATCCTATGACAACATTTTACTTTATTCCATTCCTTCATCTTAAAATCCAAAACTAATATATCATGCTAGAAACATAAACTTTCACTTGTAATGATTTTATAATGTTTGCAATCTAACCGATCTATTTTTTTATAAGAAAAAAACAATCTGAGTTTTATTATATTTTTTCTTACAAGTGATGAGTTGTTCATCTCTTTTCTTAAATAAAGTATGGACAATCACAAAATCATAAGCAAAAAAAAAAAAATTATGATTAATCATAAGATAAATATTTTATGCATCCAGGAAATTAAATGAGTTTGAGAGAACTCTAAGAAGATAAGATTTAAACTATGTTTTCAAGTAAAAGTCATATTAAAAATATTGTAGCTGTGATTATATATAAGAGTTTGAAGGATAATATTATAAAAATTAATAGAATTGTCGATAGAATTATAATTTTAAAAACTATTGTTGATGCTAATATTATTATCATTATAAATACTTATGCTTTTCAAATAGATTTGGATATGTGCTCAAAATTAAAATTTTGAAATGACTTTGAAGTGCAAAAGATCACTCAATTTAAATTTTCCCTTTCGATCTACCCCTTCATGAAAATTAGCTGGCTAGATTCTCCTGTTTATGCATCCACGAATTATTATTAGTGTTGTATGTGACTGAAACTGAATAAAATATTATGCTTCAGGTTCATCTGGAAAAGCTGCGTGCTTGGCCTCATATTTGGTATGCAACAGTATTTTCAATTCAATTATGGAAATTGCTGGAAATACCAATGTAGGTGAACCTCATTCACCATTCTAGAATGCTTAGTTACTTACCTAACTCCTTTTGGTTTAGCAACTGGAAGCTCACCTTAAAAGTCTATCCTCCTAATTTTGCAGTATTACGACATCAGAAAGGAATGTGAAGGCAGTTTATGTTATGATTTCTCAAACATGGAGAAATTTCTTAACCTGCAATCTGTAAGAGAGCCTCTTGGAGTTGGTGACATTGAATTTGTGTCATGCAGCCCTAAGGTACATGAAGCTATGCTCACAGATTGGATGAGAGATTTGGAGGTGGGCATCCCTGCTCTTCTTGAGGATGGTATCAAACTGCTTGTTTATGCTGGGGAATACGATCTCATTTGTAACTGGCTTGGTAAGTCTTTCTTGCTCATTATGCTGGAGAATACTTTTCATTTGCTATCTTTTCTTCATTTAGGCTTCGTTTGGGACGGCTTTCTTCTTGCTTCTTAAAGCAGCTTTCTAGTACAACAACAACAACAACAATAACATCAAGCCTTTATCCCACTACGTGGGGTCGGCTACATGAATCCTTTTCCTCCATTGTGACCTATTAAAAGTCAAATTCTCATTTAAATCTAATAAAGAAAGATCATTTCTAATATTTCCTAACCAAGTCTTTTTAGGTCTGCCTCTACCTTTTTTTAACATAAGTCAAATCTAATACCTCTACTTTCCTAACCGGGTCATTGGAAGGCCGCCGTTTTATGTGACCAAACCATCTAAGGCGACTCTCTCTAATCTTATTTTCTATTAGAGCTACTCCAACCACAACAAATAATTTTTTTATATTAGAAAACTGCTTTAAGAAGCAGTAAGAAAGCAGTCCCAAATGAAGTCTTATTTGAACTATGTTTCTCAAATCTTTGTTTTATTCTTTCGTAACTGAGATCCAAACATTAGACCAACCAAAAACACATTTTCCAGGATTTTATATGTGAAAGATGAAGATTTCATAGTTCATGGTTTGTCTTAAACAGGGAACTCGAGATGGGTTCATGCCATGGAATGGTCTGGTCAGCAAGCCTTCGTCTCATCATCTGAGAAGCCATTTAGCGTTAATGGCAACAAGGCCGGAGAACTGAAAAGCCATGGCCCTCTCACTTTCCTAAAGGTAATGAGTACTTTGTAAGCCTCAACCAAGCAGGTTTACGTTGAGCTAATAATAATTTTCTTTGCAATCATGGCTTGTTTCTACCAGGTTCATGACGCCGGGCACATGGTTCCCATGGATCAGCCACTGGCTTCACTGGAAATGCTGAGGAGATGGATGAACGGAAACATTGCTGATGCTGCACCAGAATCTGAAGGCCTTGCTGTTGATATGTGAGAAATACGTTAGATTATCTGTTCTTCAACTGACCATACATATTATATGGTCTTTCAGTAAATTTGATGGAATACTTTATTCATTTCGCTGCATGCATTGTTTGCTTGCAAGCTGGTCAACTTTATTTTTTTTAATAATAGCTGTGTTAATATCATGTAAAAAAATAAGCACGCAAGATAGTGTTGGTCCTCTTTAGAGGTTTAAATGAGCCAAAGCTTTGGCGAGTTCATTATGTGCACATGTTTAGCTCATTTTAAAATTCAATTGTTCCAATTCGTCTTTTGTTTGAAATTGGTCCTTTATATGATGTTTGAGTTTGATTTGTATATATATTAATGATATTGTTCAGCTCGTTAAGGCTCAAAATGGCTTGAGATTTATAGGTGATACTGAGAACTTGCTTGGTGAAGCGGTGGGGGATGTAATTATACAGCATCCAGTGGAATAGGACTTGGGCTAATGGTGAATTCCTGCTAAAAATGATTGTCAAGAAGTGGGGATTTTCTCGTAGCATTATATTAAAGATCTCTAGAAGAGTTATGTTAGGTAGTCGTCAGTCTGTGTAAAACTTATCGAATAATCATAACATGAATCTTTTAATACATCGTGTTAATGCTTGGGTATTCCCTATAAACGATGCGTTTATATGGCCTGAATACAGCGAGAACTATGCGAGGGTTACTACACCAGTACCTGGGTGTAGTGTTAAATAGACAAGGGTTTTTATATCATGGACGGATGTGGGCCAATAAACTAGTCTATGAATCTAGAATTACGATAGTATCTTGGATTGTAAGCACCCTTACAAGCAAATTAATGAAATTAATTGATATTATGATTCATAGGAAGATAAATATTCTATGCATTTAAGAAATAAATGGGTTGGAGAGAAAGCTAAAGTGATTGATAGTTTATGATTTAAACTTTAGTATTTTGGTAAGACTCGTGCTAGAAATAGTATAGGTGTGATTATAGATAAGAGTTTGGAAGATAATTTTATAAAAATTAATAGAATTGGAGATAGAATTATAGTTTTGAAGATTATTGTTGATGCTAAGATAATTAATATTATAAGTGTCTATGTTCCTCAAGTATATTTGGATATATATGTTCAAAATTAAAATTTTGGAATGACTTAGAAGAATTAATACAAAAGATACCTCTTGAAGAAACAATTTTTATTGGAGGAGAATTAAATGGACATGTTGGTAGAGATATAGAAGATTTTAAAAGCATTCATGGTGGTTATAGGTTTGAAGCGACTTATGAAGGTGGTATGACTACATTAGATTTTACTTTGGCTTATAATTTTGTAATTGCTAATATCTTATTTAAGAAAAGATATGAGTATTTCATCACTTATAAGAATATATATAGTAAAATTTAAATTGATTATTGTCTTATAAGAAAAATAGATCATTTAGATTGTAAAATTATAAAGTTATTCGGAGTGAAAGTTTATGAATCCAATATTACTTATTAGTTTTGAAATTTAAGAAGAAGAGGCAAAACATGAAAAATATAATAAAACATTGTTCTAAGATTAGATAAGGGCATTTAAAGAACACTAATAAAAATATTTTTTAGAGTAATATTCGAGATCTTAAGATTTTGTCTGTGTATGAGGCAGTTAATGTTATGTAGAAAATTGTAGCTAGTAATATTAAGAATATTGTGAAGGTTGTAATTAGAGTATAAAAAAGAGGTCATAATAATAAAAATAGTTAGTGGTGGAATCAAAATGCGCAAGAAAAGATTAAAAAAAAACTTTGTTATAAAAATTAGTTTCTATGTCAAAATTCTGAAAATTAGAAAAGATATAAAAAAGGTCCGTAAGGAGTCTAAGAAAGCAATATGCGATGCAAAGATCTTTGCTTTTAATAATTTATAAACAAAAATATATGAGTAGTAAGGATTTAATTCAAGTGAAGTGCGTTAAAATGAAATAAAAAAGTGTTTTTTTAGTAGATGATATTAAAAAAAGGTGGATGAAATATTTTGCTAATTTTTTTAATGAAGATTGTGAAAATATGATTAACTTTAGTGAGCTTAGCACTCTAAATGAAAATAAAGATTTTTGTTTTATGTCTATTAGTGAAACTGAAGTTAGAGAGGCTTTAAAGAAAATGAAATGTGAAAAAAATGTCGAATCTTATGGTATTCTAATAGAGGTGAGGAAATGCTTAGGATATGATGGAATTTCTTGGCTTATTAAAAAAGAAAGGAATTTATTGGCTTATTAAACTTTTTAATATTATCTTTAAGACTAAAAAGATGTCAGATGAATGGAGAATGAGTGTGTTGATTCTTACTTTTAATAATAAAGGTGATGCACAAGATTGTGAGAAGTATATAGGAATTAAGTTAATGTGCATACTTTAACACAACGGGAGAGAGTTATGGAGCATAGGTTATGTTATGATACTAATGTTTCTCAAATTAATTTGGATTCATGCTAGGTATGTCGACTATGGAAGCTAGACATTTATTGAGAGGTTTGATGGAGAAGTATAGAGAATAAGGAGGATCTACATATGATTTTTATTGAGTTAGAGAAAGCATATGATAAAGTTCCAAGAGAAGTTCTATGGAGAGTTCTAGAAAAGAAAGGGGTTAATAATGCTTATATTGAAGTCGTTGAGGATATGTATGCAGGAGCTATTACTTTTGTTTAAACACAATGTGTTTTGACCAAGTATTTTCTTGTTGTAATTAGATTACATCAAGGTTCAACCTTAAGCCCATATCTTTTTGCTTTATTCATTAATGTTCTTAGTAGACATTTTCAAGAGTATGTACCCTTATGTATGCTTTTTGTTGATGATATTCTTCTTGTTGATAAGACTAGAGAGAAAAAATTAAAGGTAAACTTAAATTATGGTGGTCAAGGGTAGAGTCTAAAGATTTTTGTTTAAGTAGATCTGAAATTCAATACATGTAGTGTAATTTTTGTAGTAATAGATCTAGTGGGGGTTTTGTGACTTTAAGCGATCAAGTCGTTAATAAGAGTAAATGTTTTAGATATCTTAGGTCTATTATTTAGAGTGATGGTGAAATAGATGAATATATTATTAGTAGAATTCAAGTTAGTTAGTTGAAGCGGAGGAATGCATCATGCTTGTTGTGTAATAGAAAAGTATCGCTCAAACTTAAGGGAAAATTCTGTAAGATGATGGTGAGAGCTGAAGTGTTTTATGGCGCAGAATGTTAGTCGTTAAAAGAGAAGCATAATATTAAGTTTAAGTGTTGCAGAGATGAGGATGCTCAGGTGGATAAGTAGATTTACTCTTGGAGATGAAATATGAAATGAGTATATACATGAAAAGGTTAGAGTAGATCTAATGGAAAATAAAATTAGAGAGAGTCACCTTAGATGGTTTGGTCACATAAAACGACAGACTTCCAATGACCTAGTTAGGAGAGTATATGTATTAGATTTGGCCTATGTTAAGAAATGTAATAACTGTAAATTATGTAGTATTTTATATATTTTATTTTTAGTTAAAATTTGTTATTTTAATTATATTTGTTCAGGAAAAACTAAAAACTGATAAAAAAATTCTAAGGAGCCTACAGCATCGTAGCGTCCAATGAAACAACGCCACAGCGCCACCTTCAATATTATCGAGGCACCACAAATCGAACATAGCAGCAGTAAGTTCTTTGTTTGCCAGTGTTGTAGCACCAATAAAGCTAATATCCCAGTATTACCAGTGCTGCAGCGTCAAGAAGTTAGCTTGGCATGTCCATATTCTCTATTTTTAAATGTTGTGATGCCGTAAATTCTCACGTCTTGGCGCAAATTTTTGTACTTGGTTGTCGCAGCGCTCGAATGTCAACAACGTCATGACATTGCAATTGTAACTTGTAAGAGACACATTATATCAGTGAAGAGACACGATTGTTCACTAAGTAACCAATCCACATCAGCAAGCGCTACAGCGGTGTAAAAGTTTCAGCACCGAGGCGTTAATTCACTTCAAGGGCACCGCGGTGAAACTCTTTCAAGTGTAACAATGCCAGATGCCTTTTTTGTGTTGTCCTATAAATAGTTATGATGTTATGCTTGTAAGGGAGTTGAGGCACTTGTGTAAAATTCAGTATTTCTTAGAGTACTTCTCTAGTTCCCTCTTAGAGTAAAATCTAAGGGAGGCTAGGAAGTATAAGATACAATCATTTGAAGAATTTAACCTATGTTTCTTGAAGCAACTCTGTATGTTAAGAGAAGAGTGTAAATGAGATACTTTGATTATTTATAGTGATACCATTCTTTTGTATTTTCATTACTCCATGAATTTGATGAAAATGAGTTTACTTGTTATTTATTTTATGTCTAACTAATTCTCTTTTTTTAGATTGATAATGTAAAATACATATTAAGTACTAATGAAGATTCTTATTCTATAATGTTAAATGAAATTGATAGTATTATCCATTTTTTAATTTAATGCACATAGTGATCATATGTGTAATTAAAATATTGTGTGATGTATAGCCTCGATGGAGGAATGCAAGAACAACCAGAAATATTGAGATAGGATGTTTACATGTATAGACATTGGATAGAAAATGTTCTAGGTTCTTAAGGAGATACTATAACTGTAGGAGGTCAGCATATATTCGTTTCACCCATACAAGTTTAATAGAGATCTAGGGATGCATATGTTCTGAATCACATCTATAATTAAGAGTCTCATTACGAAAAATATGAAATTTGCACTCATCAATCCAAAACACTTCAAATAAATATTGTATCTAATATTTTTACTATTTTATTTAGTGATAAAATCTCTATAATTATCATTTTTATTTTTGTAGGTGTTGATCTCATTTTTTATGTGAGGTCACTAGAATCACTCCATATCTCAAATATACCTAGACCCAGACCCTGGTCAAACATGGTTGACTAGGTCAACACTTTTTGACCAAAATACCCCTTAAGAGTTTAAATGTGTCATTCCAACCCATTTAACTATTTCAAATCATTCAAGCTCTCAAATCCACTTTAATCATGAATAAAACATAATCAAATTTTTTAGAGTCTAGTCATGGTCAATTTGACCAAGTCAATTCATTATAGCTTGATCAAAGCCATAGAAAATCCCTCATATTCACTCAAGCTTCAACCCGTGCTCTTATACTTCCTCCAAACAACTCCAAGCAGTTGGCATTGACACTTGGCTACCACCTCAGCAATCATCTTGATTGTTTAACTGGTCAAACAGTCAAACTAAGCTCATAAATGGGTCAAACTTGGTCAAAACCCATTAAAC